GGCAGTTTATCTAGTTCGTATTACACGAGTAAATTTTCCAACCTGTGTCCAAAGCCAGAATACGAGACCCAACTTTCTCGCACGGATCCGCGATCGTAAATGTTAACCAAGACGAACTTCACTTGAACCATAGGAATTCCTACCAATTACTAACCACGCTCTCGGTGATTTTGATAAAATCGACTGAGGTCACAAAATGATAATTGGTCAATGTACAGGCAAGGAAAAAGTCCTATTAGGTGCACTTAGAATTCTAGATTCGAAAGTTTTGTGTACCGATTGGCTGAGTGCATGCGTGAGTCTGAAATTTCACATATTCAATGGGAAAAAACATTGAGCTACTGAGGATATCCACTAGGTAATCTTTACAGTGCAGTCCAGTCCTTTGGGACGGTCCGTCCCTGCTTTCGTATACTTGCGCGAGGATTGCCATGGAGATAGACAAGATACAACGTGAAAAAAGTGACCATTTCCCCCATGTGCCACCGTCAATGAAATTGTGCTATCTCCCAAATTGAGAGAAAGAGCAATAGTTGCGATTGGACCGGCTGACAAAATACTGAGTGAGGTTCGCCACATACGGTCCGACTGCCAAAACCTCCACATGCTTCAGAAGGTGCTAGTTAAGTGGTTGATTTTGTTTTCACATACACGTCAGCTATGATCTAGATAATCACCACCATGAGTCATAAGTTGAGAGAATGTTGTTGCCCAAGATTTCAAGTTGCTGAAAGTTGCTGAAGGTCTGAAGGTTTCAATGTTATTCCGGATAACAAGGAGAAATCGGCAAATTATCGTACGTTTTACTGGTCTGTTGCTACCCGGATGAGGATGGTTGTACAAAATCATTGAATGAATTACATATCACGTCCCATAAAGCAGAAATCTGCAAATTCCTGATCAGTAAACCAGTGGTGGGCTATACAAGCTACCTGATAAACATTAAATGTGCAGTTTTACAAAAATAATGCTAATCAAGCTCATTGCACACCGGTAACTAATATACGCGGGGTTTACGCAGATGGCGATCTAATTCTGCATGTCCAGAACATTTGGTAAAGTAGCAGGATATATGCATACCTTATTGTATACTTGGCCATCTTTTCAAATGGTCACATATAAGAAAGCATTAAACTAGAGCTTGATGACAGTTCGGTTTATCTATGTTAAAGGATGTGGGCGACGACGTTATTTGATGAAGAATGCAAATGCTCACAATACGTTAGTTGTGGATTTTGGCTTTCCTCCGGAAACACCAATGAATGACCATCTCCAGTATCTGAAGATTTCCTACCCAAGGCAACCTGTAAAAAAGCGATAGTTTCCAGTAGACCCTGTGGGTGTGGACTGCTGATTGCAATTGAAAACGGATAAAAATGAACATATTAGATAAAGCTAATTTCTGAACTACTAGGTACATGATAGGACATCACACTGTCACCCACCATACGGTATAGAAATTTTATTTGTAACCAATGTAGGTTGAGCTCAAACCGTTCGAATCATTTAAGCTGAAGAGTGGAACTGACAGCCAACATTTTACCTTATCACCGGTGTTTTTCGAATTCACCGTAGATTAGATAATGCGACACGCATTTGTCGATTATCCTGGATTACAGCTTGACCTTGGTACATGGATTACAGACATAGATGCGGTCTTACTTGGGTACATCATGGAAAACCTCCTGCCTGTTGTCAATTGCATTAATCCACTTTCCCAAACCAATGATTTAGAGATCAACAAGTTGAGAACCACAACATTTTTGACTGAAAATTCTTCCACGGCAAAATCACCCTCGGTTAACGAGGTGCTTGTCGAATCAATCAAAGTTTTCAAGTATATTGGCTCCACAATCATACCACACCGCCACGCTAAGGATGAAATCCAACTTCGTGTAAATGACGCTAGAAGAGCTTTCCTGCAGCTCCTCTGACCGTCGTGAAATCGATGCAAAATAAGCGTAAACCGTGAGCTTCGGGTTTGTCAGACCTTTAGCAGCCCCATCCTCGCTTTTAGTTACGGAACAAGACCGCTAAGAATACAAGATACAGACCAGTTTGAGGTCTTTAATCATTGGTGCTTACGTTACATGTTCAAAGTAAGATGGAGGGATCTGATTTACAATGATGAGATTTGACTATGCTGCTCGAAAATCGACACACTTTCAAAAATGCTACAATACCGGCGCCTCCAGTGGTTTACTCATGTGCTCCAAAGACCCTACACTCACTTCCCGGGGTAAGCTGCAATTCTCACTCCATGCCGTGGATGACGTTACCGACTCGGTGGTCACGTAACGACCTAGAGCAGTACGATCAAGGCGGACTTGAAACTATTAGGCCTCCAATCCGTCCGTATATGGAATTCTTAACTGGAATCATAACTGGGTAGCACGCTGCTGCCGATCATCACGTATGAGACACTATCATTAGAGATATCCAAGAAACCGATCTACCCTCTCACAGGAGCTAGTCGCTCAAAAACAGAAGAGTAAATAAGTGAGTAGCAAACTTTAGCTACCACCACTGACCTGATCTCAACAACGATGCACGACTTTGCTAAGAGTCGATCACTTTCGTTTCTGACGTCTTGAATGCTTTGTAATACACCTCGGTACAAACATATGGTACCTCTCAAGATGTTTGGATTATCTCCGCGTCCAAAAGAGCGACCATAGTCCATTTTGAGAATCAAGGCAGCAACTGAGTGAATACCGGAAATACGAAATTTCACCGAATCATGTCTTCAAAAGAAAATGTTTTACCAGAAATGAATTTTCCCTGAAAAAAGAGGAATCACACTCCTCGACGTTTACCCAACAGTGCCACTTTACTACTTTATTTTCGGTAGTGTTCCACTAACGGATAAAAAATGCCTCTAATTCATGTTTTTGCGTTCTAAACTCTGAACTGGTGGTGCAACCATCGGGTAAGAATATTCTAAACATTTTCAAATGAATTCAAATATGGTTCGCACGCAGGCCACACTACTGTTTTGAGGCCACGAAATAACAGCCAGCAATTTGCGTGATACAAGTAATGATCTGCGGTGATATCTTGCTGAAAAAAGCTTTAGGATGATCATTTCCCATTGCTATTGCTAGCATACGGTGCCGCTCCAGCGTACGAATGTGTGTATCAGAACCTCGCATCCCACGCAGTGCTGCTGGTACGTTTGCCCGTTGTTTGATAAGGCACCCGGTACTATCATGGATTTACAATCGCTAACTCGTTTATAGAATCCCAGCTTTTTCCACTGATCATATCAGTAGTAGCTTCACGCGTTGCGTCCATCTAAATTAAATCTCTTTTCGTCTCTAAAGTTGACGAAATTCCACTCGTTATTCCAAGTTGTATGGGTTTCAATACGCATTTGAATATTCCGTCTTGTTGTAAAGGTATTTTCTTGTATCTGTCTATTGAATTTTCTCCACAGGACCGTCTCAAATGTTCCTAATTCCGCTCGCACCAAAACCTCAAGCAGTGAACTCGAGCATCACTTTCATCTCCAGTGCAGGACTCACGAAGTTTGACACTACACTGGACAATATGCCCTTGCTTTACCCCGAGACTCCCTATGAAGTCCAATGAGTTATGGCTTGGTTTTAGCTGTTTCCGCTTCAAATACCGTCCCACAGTGTGATCAGAACCTATTGGTGGTCTGGATATCTTGAGCGTGCTAAAATACATCCAAAGGAAGACAACACCTTTTGAATATCTCGTTATCTGTAAGCCATTTCCATCGCTCCGTGGTTGGTAATGAGTTTCAGTGGTCTGCTTGGATTACTTTGTCCCTTCAAGGTTATTAGAAATGACGTTAGTATGACCGTAGATTACACCAGCGTGTCAACCACTGACAGTTCGAGCGTATCAGTTGACATGGCTATGTACAAACCCGGAATGCGTATCGCATTCGTGTTAAACCCCATTGAGTTGTGTAAAGGCTATGGTGCGGGGGCAATTCTGCCTGGGTAGAAATCCTTTTTTTCGATATATTTTCATTTAATTAAACATAATTTGATAAAATTTCGTATTTTGGCTTTCGATTCGGTTAACGTCTGGATTCTCAGGAACGGCACTGATCGTGCATGTTGAGGTGTAAATAATCAAAAAATCGTGGGAGATTGAATAGTTCTGTTGCAGAATATGCATCGTTAGAGGGCACCTAATACACCTGATAAACGCCTGACTTATGCGACGTGTGTGTAACGTGTGTGGGCAGCTGCGGAAGGTACTTTTATGAAAGCACTCAAAGTTGCGTCAATAGAGCTTTACACCCAAAGAAACACATTTTCTGAGATAAAGTGTTTCACTGAAGCTATCATGCGTTGTGTCATCAGCATAGATGGTGGTTTAGTCACCAAGAGATCATCAATTTTAGGTGTGGAGTTAAGATCATTTCGTGCATTACCGTTTGCTCATTCACCTTTATGCATTCATTTGGCTCATCTTTTCTGGATTTTCAGAGGATTCCTCCACCGCTCATCATCACTAATATTTAGACAGGTTATCAGTAAGTACGCAAGTGTGCATTCCGTGTTCATTCAGATTACCTACCTGCATATGTGTTCATGTCGCCGATAAAATACTGCACTTATCCATTTCGTTATTGATAGTCATGTGACAGTGAATGCATTATAAACATCCGTCTCGTACCGAACACACACGTGTGCACACCTGGCAGTATCACGCGAAGCGATTCGGAAATTTTGTTTCAGTTTGATGAGTTCTCGTCTCACATCCACAACCATCACACCTTGTTAATTCGTTTGTCAGATGCGAACGGTCTCGTGTCCACCACACAAGCTCGTTTGTTTTAAACCCGACAACGTTCATCGATGATTGGTTCTAAGTTGAATTGATAGTCCAGACTCGATGAATGGAAATCGAGATTCGAGCGACGAGCACGCGATGGTGTCCAATCGGATTCAAGACTGCAAAGTTCATTTCTATATATATATATATATCTATTTTTATATATCTGAATCCCCGTACAGGACATGTGGCACAACATGATAGGGTTCATTTGGTGGATTCTGGTCAGCGTTTTCACCTGTGAGTCTCATACATATTACCCGATTTTCACCTGACAATGTGAGACAGAAACAACAAGATTTGAAAATTGTCCACTCATCTAAATCTTCCTCTATTTTAGTTAGTGCGGACGCTGTAAATCGAACTATCTACGCACCTTGGGTGAGTGATCCTAATGGATTGGAACGTGATTTGTTTCGCACCAGTATGTGGGGTCATTTTTAAAGAATGGCACATCATGTGTTATAATCAAACTCTACTTGTTATTATATATTACTACACATATTTGTTTACCTTTTGCTGGGTTTTCTGCTTTTCATTCAGCGGTACGAAATAGCATGGTGGAATATTGCATGACAGTACCTGTAGTATAGTGAGAAGAAAATCATACATGACTATATTGACACATATTTAGTTATCTTTCATTGGAACTGATAAAAGCATATGTTTATATACGCACACTAAAAAACGGATACGCATACAATCTCACATATATTGGAATATCTGAGCACAACGCGATCGAGTGTAAACCAATAGGAGTTTATCAGCTTAGGATCAGATAAAATTATTCNNNNGTAGAAAACAAAGCCTTTTTCTATAACTTCGTCCTCGGGCTAACACTGTTATACGTAAGATTCATAAATGTCAGACTGGTTTAATGATCGGACGTTGTAATTATGACTGATTGATTGATTGTAACCTTGTCATATGTGGTTCGAAGAAGAGAGAGCAGAGTGCCTGCCGATGAAGTTATCCAAAGCAAGCTTTGCTTACACCGATCGGAAGGATTACCTCATGAGGAATAGCAAATCAATTTTTCTGCAACGCTTATTTGAGTTGGATAGAATGAGGCGACATACATCTAATCATATAATTACGAAACAAATATTCATGTTCCTAGTGTTTTCAGCCATGTCATAACCCTGAATCTTATTACTGAGATTAGCGAAGTGAGATGCTGCCAACACGCTTGCAAGCATGCATTGTGCTTTGTCATCTATACGCAAAGGGGAAACGATCTCACTAACCGCCAATGATCAAGTCCGTGTGGTGTGCTTCCATCCTACACTTGAGGTCAAGTATTGAATCCTTCTCCAAACGGAATAAAAAAATTATGCAGTCGTTCCGAAATGTTTCCTTCACGCTCTGTACAGGACTAAAACCATTACAGTTTTTATTGTTATTGGCATCTGTGTTTTGTTTAGTGAAATATATATATTTTTTTACTGAATGAGAATCCATTTTTCATTGATCTATTCACACTGTACTAATAATCCATTCACGGTAACCTAAAGTATATCCGGTCATTTGTGCTACCGACATCAGTTTTCTTCAGCAGACATTGTACGCACCTGCTTGCAGCAGACATCGGGTTTCCCATTTTCAAAATTTGCTTTAGATTTTCTCGTTTAATTAAAATCAGTGAACTGGGTGAATTTTACTCACTTTTTTCTCTTCGGTACAAACAGCGTCTCATTTCGAACCGACCTCTCAACTTTTGGGTCATTTGAAGTCGTCTATTAAACGAAACTGTCACTCCGAAAAGGCTTTACTCAACGGTAGTTTAGGTCTTTCCGTTTAGTAGTACTACTCGATGCACTCCAACTGAACTACATGAATTTTACCTGAAAAACGTTGCCTATCAACCTAGGCTAGATGGAAAACTCTATTGGGAATGACAACGTTCGACTCATTCTCTGAGTACAGGTACACAGAACTGGTTTATCTATGTGGAGTCAAATGTTTTCATAAATTTTCATTGCATTTGGATTGGGGTTGCATAACATCGAGTTCACGAAATGGATCTGTTTACCTCAATTATCTGACATTGTGAAATGAATCTACAGACCGCATTTTGCACAATGAACTTGAGAATCATCTAGCAAGTTCGATTAACACATTCCTCATACCGTTTGTGTCATATGCATTTCTTTCGAACGATGCCCAACCTGAGTGGAATGGATTTCCAAAGTCTTCCCATCTGGCTAGATAATGGTACAAATACGTCTCATGTCTGTTCACGTTATCAATCAAATTGGTACAATTGTTTCTCCACTGAATATTTTGCTTTTATTTCCGTCATCCTTACCTTCGCATCTTATTCACCTCAAATCTGAGGATCAGTAGGGTACATAGATCAAACCGGGTGTGTGCGAGCCTAAAAAACGTTGCAGTGTGGAAACAAATGCAGAATTTTCTTTCAGATGATAGTAAAGATATTGCAGCAGAAGTATGAGCCCCATTATTTACCTGTGTATCTTGCATTCTTTGGTACGCTACATCTTGGTAAATGGAAGCAATGTATGGTGGCTTGCCAAAATGCAGGAAGAAACTGGGTGAGCAGTGCAATTTAGAGCTGAGAATGAAACAAAAGTGGAAACGGATCTGTTGCACGCCTCATTTCGGTGCGCATTCGAAAACTAAGCAAAGCAAGGCGACCTTACCGACAAACGACTGACGTCTGACAATCACCGCACAATAGAAATCACGTGAGACATGCACATTGAAGCACATGACATAGCCTAGTTGTGTGGTTTGTGTCTGCTACCTGCACCCGTATTGATTGCACCTTGTTGGACTCATTGAATGTTGGCTACGTAATGGCATACGGAGTACGCGATTCTTGAAGAAAGTAAAATATCCCATATTGATAAGTTCGGGTGTCAAGGTCAAATGTTCCATGACGACACTGAACATTTTGATCGGATTTAATAAGCAACGCTTATTTTTCTGTTGCAGAGAGCTGAACAATGCAAAAACGATGGAAATACATATTACGCTCATACCATCGGATAAAGAACAATGATTTTCTCGTGGTTAGATCGTATGTGGCATGAAAAACTGAACGAGAAAATATATACTGAATTGCTAAGTATTGTTATTTAAATGTTGCAGGGTGTGGAGGCTAAGGTTTCAGTCAACGGAAAGACGACAAGCGTGCGGCAGAATTTGGGGAGAGCACTCTAAGCCAAAGGTCAAATTGAGCCAGTCGTGCGTACAGGTAATTTTGGATCTCATCGAGAAGGTCGAGAAGAACACGATTGTAGTTTCGAAAGATTGATCATAAGACATCAGTGTTTTTGTCATAGCTAATTTATTTATTCTCTCTGTTCTCCAGCGGTAAAGTTTCCTCCCTACTAGTTGATTTTTCGACTTACAATTATATTTATCGAACACCTCAGAAAGGCCTTGGTGATTTGTACTTATCGTTACTCTTTTCGACTGTCAAAGTGTTGACAGAAATTGAAAATTTATTATCGAATCCGTCTTCGCTTCGCACCACTACAAATTTAACCATTACCAAAAGCTTGCGCACTCGTTTCCTTTCTCACTTAGATTTCACCACTGCTATTCGTTGAAGATGGTCACCCCGTTGGACTGCTACCGGACCTTATGAATGGTNTTTTAATCAAACCGGTGGACGACTGGTTCACGGGATCTGATGCGTTTGTGCCCGATGTCAACATCACAGCATTTGACAAGGGTTCTATGCAGTGTTTACGGGTAAGTAGAACCTAAATTAATAAATAAATAATTATATGTACACGGAGGTTGAGTGTGACCCAGTAAGCATTCTTGAATGTGAATACCTTTTGCTGCTAAATAAATTAGGAAAGCGTTTGACCCATGCTTTTTCGAGAATAGGCGTATAACTTTGTCATCTGGAGTAATAAGTGAATGGAAAGATCTTGAAGATTTACCACGGACTAGAAATGACATTAGATGTCTCCCTCTTTAATTCACTAAACCAGTACGTTTTTATTTCAAAGGGGAAATTCGTCGTATCTATGTCAAATGAAGCTTGAAGGAAGAAGCTAGGAAGCACTAGCCAGCTGTTTTGACTTGGTTGGATCTCATCAGCAGTGCAAATCCATCGACCCATTGGGGGATCGAACCCCGGACCTCACAGGCAGAATGCAAGTATGCTGCCCACTCGACCCTCGGCAAGCTGAACAGACCGTTTTTTATTTTCCATTTACACGAAATAGCATAGCCCATTTTTGCGAGCTTGTTGCGGCCCAACGACCTCGTTCAAGTCAGCACTAACCTCCGGAGTCATGACTCGGTCGGAAAGAATCATAACCTGACTACTGATTTCATGTACGCTTTCTGAATTTTGGATTTCTCGTGCGTTAATTTTGTTCGGTAAGATAGAAGTGAATTTAGTGGGCAGGTTTTGGATATCCATCGGAATTGAGCGTTGATTCACTGCGGAGAAACACACAAACACACATGTATCATCGTCGGACACAAAGGTGTATCGAAATTACCAATGGGGGCAGGGAGAGCAGGTGGATCGTATGAACCTAAATCAATGAATTTTAAACAAGAGACACTGGTTACATAACCGGTTTTCATTTTTCTATCGCTTTTCATTCAGACTTTTCCCATTCATTGTTACTGTAGGGAAACTAGAGCAGGCGCATATATTTCATCTGGAAGAACGAAAACAAAATTGGATATCGCATTTTCAACTCTAGCCGAAATATTTCTGCATCGTAGTTAAATATTAGTAGATTATGTTGTCTGTATGTAGTCGGCTATAGTTCAAGATAGAATATGGCTGTAATGGGATAGTCTTGTTTTCCACTTGGTTTTATCATTCGATTTCTTTCCGAAGAAACAACTGTGCATACACAATGTGTGACTTCCCACTTAAAAAAACACAAGTAAAATATGTTCATTGAGAAATAATATAAAATTGGTATTGCATCCCTTCTGAATCCAGAAAAATTCTAACCTGGACACTGTAAAACGTAATCGAATGTCGGGCATAACGATCAATTTTTTATGACAAGTGCTTTCAAGGTGCTTCACCCAATTATCCACGGTGACCTGTAATTTTCGTTTCCTGATGTGAGTGATCCAATACACGTTTCCTTAATAAATGTGACATCAATGGTACTGCGCCTACTTACTAGTGCTTGGCAACCTATTTCTGTTGTTATAATATTTTGAAGCCTTCTTTGGGAAATCTACTACGTCTTATTTATCTCCTAGAAGGATATTCAAATTCAGCAATTTCCTCGATCCATATCGTTCAACGTGTACAGACATCGTAAATGCAAATGACAGATAAAGAAAAAGTCTTGTAGAATAAGTCATACAAAAAATGCCTATTGTACATTAACAAGACGCGGTTTGTGTCCACACGGTTAGGGTTAATTTTATATCGCCCTTGAAGCTGTTTAGTCGGACCCTCCCCAATCATTGTCTAACGTTTCCCAAATCTTTGCATCATACCACAGACAGATAGATTTAACGCATACACCCTCATGATAATTTGCTTTGCCAGTTGGTAAAAAACAAAGCGGGCGGAACAAAAAATTGTCTGTGATTTTGCCTTTGGTTTAATCTGACTTTACTTCAAGTTTTAACATTCGAAATCCGTTAATTACCAAACAGTTGCACCCATTATAACACTTTTGTTAGAAACTGTAAACATCAAGCATCTACTTTAAACTATTTGGCAGTAATCGGCGAGTGAAGGTAAATAAAATCATAGATGTGATCAGCTCAAGCATTTGTCTTTAGCGAATGTTCCTATGCACCTCACAGTTAATAATTCTTCGAGATGAAAGATACGGGGTTGAAGATCTTGACTGATCACACCACACGCATTCTCTACGAGATTAGTATCATCTTTTACTGTTCATCACACCTTATTATTATTACCAATGAAGCAACAAATCTGATACGATGGACGGCTGTCAACTGGAACGAATATGTCGTTTCTCTCTTTGGCGTTACCTCAAACAAAGAGACAAAGAGATGTCTAGAGAAAATATTTTAAGAAAAAAGAATAGTTAAATTTGATCATCCCCGGTAGTTCATACAAAGCACACACCTTCCATGAAAGGATTTCCTGGTTCAAATCCCGAACTGATCGATCATGGGTTACGCACCAGTTCTAATATACATTACGTTCCACACAGTGCTGGACCTGTTTGGGTCTCCACAAGAATGTGTATTTATGTAAATATCCGTGACTCGAATCAGGGGTTGCACTGTTGGAACATGAGCAAACTCTTCAATCAGCCATCAGCAAGGTGAGTAGACAGCTTTTCAGTTTGACCATATACGACACAGAATACTGTAATGCGGGTATCGCACCTCACCTATCTCAATACCACTAACCATCTCGAAACTACTGACCAGTGCTTGCTAGCTTTTCATTTCACGCCGAATTTTCTCTGTACACGATGAAATTCACTATATGATCAAACCACATCCTCAATTACTGTTCAGTGCATACGAGGTTAGATTGTGCTATTCTGCTCTAGGTTTACTAAATTTAGTCAATGTGACAACTGAACGATTAACCTTTCTGAACTGCATATCTCTGGCTCAATCACTTCGTCCGCGTTCCGACTAGTTAGACGTCCGGAAAGGATATGACGTTACTGTTTTCAGTAATTACAGGAATACAGCTACTATGATATTTTTATGCAAATCTGAAATGTGCAAAACAAACTGTTTTACGTCCATTAGAGAATACTTACCGGATATGGAAATACGTTCACAAACACTACTGAATTAGCAGGTGACAACAATATTCTACATATGTCATTTTAGTTAAAACATTGGTAAAGTCTTCATAATTTTTTTGGTCAATACAATTTTAAAATTATAGTTGGTACGATGGTCGTATGTACACATTCTTTGCCACGTATGTGTGTTTAGCCTCTGAATGGTTCAGTAGATATAACTTATATCTGAGTTGTAATGAAGATGAAAATTTGTTCGGGTACTGCTTGAGCTTAAGGTTGCATGAAAGAATTTAGGGTTGTATGTGATGTTTATGTTTGAAGAATGAGCAGTTGAATCAAATATATGGAAAATGCCACCGTTTGGACCTAGTGGGCACGTGATAAATAGAACTGAAAGATTACATGCTATAGATAGGAATTCTGTAAAATGATATTTTACATGGTTCACATAGAAATTACTGTTCAATATCCGTTGGTTATTTGCTTGTTCGTTTAATTACTGTCCAGGAGTGACCTTTAACGCTCTCTATCCGTTTTCCATCAAACGGATTAAACGCTTGCCGTGCTTCAAAATAAAATAGTCCAACTGCAGTTAATTCTTTTCGTTTCGTCTGGGTGTTTCAAATGACAATAAATCAGATATCACGGCAGAACAACAGTAAGATATTATAAAATAGTCGAATCCTGCGGCAAACCACGTACATCTTGTGATCATTTTCTCATTGACCAACTTGTTTCAACCAACCATTAATCGACCAGGAATCCAATTGCCTTCCTACAGTTACAAGCAAATGCACATTCCAAATCTCGCTCTCATTGTGCTGCCCAATCTAATAAGGAACTATTTTACCCGAAAAGCTCAAAACGAATCTCAGTATTTTCAATCATTGATTGTGCCATCTTTCTTGTGTAATATTCCCTTCAATGAACTCGTCTATTTGCGGTCTGCCACGATATTCTTTCAATTCCCAGCTGAAATTACCTCAAATTAAAGTCCATCATTAAGGTAAATGGATTTATAACAACAAATTCCGTCAAGGTTTGAAGATCGAAGTGTAATGTACTTACCTGGATTGAGGTTCAACAGCTCTACTCATCGATTCTACGGAAACACTGGGGTGGCAGTCAGTTAACGTGCAATCTGGTGGATTCCACATGTCTCTGTAAGTCGAGTGGTTGATACCAATATAACAAGATCAACACTATTAGTGTGGACTCGTAGCATATCCATTAGAGCGTGTTTTGTACAAAAGTGTAGGCTGCGCCAACACATTGGTTCAAATCCCACCCAGGCTTCTGAACATAGCCATTCAAAATGTAAAACTTCAACTTACCCACCAACATAACTTGACCTAGGAAATTCGGGTAAGCTACATATGGTATGAGGCTGTTTTTGTTCACAAGTGATTGTTTACAATAAAGACACGGCGAGAAGGCAATATGTACATCTCTGAAGACAACCCGAGGGTTTGCTGCCAGTAATCGATTTCAGTCGCGATGATACACTTAAGCGGCCTATCTTTTGACTGCTCTCTACCAAATAGCATGTGAATCCCGAGTTAGGTGCCGTCAGAATTTGTGGATTGGATTGAGACATCGATTCACGTGGTTAATGAGAAATGTTTTCAGTCATTGTACTTTATACTAATTAGTCGGTCTTACCAATGTGCAATTCCGTATCGCCGCAAGAAACCTCTGACATACAGGGGAAAGTAGATGAAACCGACCAGTGAACGCTGATACGGTGGCGTGAAACCCAATAGAGACATGATTTGATGGCAAAGTACTTATTTGTAGGGCGTTTTGTAATACACTGTAGAATGAGCCGAAATGTTAAACCGCCTGTGTGGTTGCGATGATGATGTTCTCCTTCTCGCTTAGTAGATTGTTATATGTGCATGTTTTTCTCACCCGGTGAACACGTGTACGTGATTGATTCATTTGTCATGAGAATACAAGTGTGTGGTTACCCAAAACAAAACCGATCGACTGCCGGTGAAAACATTGTGTTAGCTGCTTATTTCAGTCATTTTGAAGGTCATCGGTCAATACAAGTCTACATTTGATGCAACTGTAGTCTACCGGATGCACCAACAGTTTGCATAGCTGCCTGGTGGTGACTGAGATAACATTTCATTTGATAAATGGTCATAGGCACCATGTTCCAAGACCTAGTGGGCTTTGTCTCTCATGAGATTTCGCACAAATATCCGTAGAAAACATAAAATTTTACGCGAATATGGTCCGCCATTGTCCTTTTTCATCCTGTTGATTTTGAATTGGGACCTGCGGAATATCTTCAAATAAAATAATAAAATGGCTACTTATTTGATCCGTAATTCTGAGCTTCTTCAATAACGCTCAACCATCCATTCAAATTTGGCCAGCATACTAGGAAATCGTCTGAAATAGAATGAATAAAAACAGCTTCATTTTTGGAACAACTGCAGTCAACATGGCAGGTTAGTTCGTAGCACCTTCTTTGAGGCATATCGGATTGGAAAGATACAAGAGGAATGTGTTCTTATTTGGTGCCTGACAGATGGATCATGATGGACTGTCTCAATCAATCAGTGGAACTGCAATTCTCCTCTCCAATGACGCGCAAAGTGGTGTGAAAGTGTACTCAAATTATTGAGCTTTAATATGAATCCGATAAGTATGCGTTAATATCAAGATGATCAACGATTTGCCACTCCACTTTGCCATTCACTCTCATTTTGACAGCTATGTAAACACGAAGGACATCAGGGATGAACGGTTTACCCGATGCGAACATGAATTTCATCGCTTCCGTGGGCTTTCCTCTCTCGCAGCCAGATGCTAGCTTAAAATGGTGCCATTCAGTGTGATTGTATATATTCAGAAATGGCAGATATACGTGCGTTGTTCGTTTGTTTATTGGTGGTATCCAACATGCCATCAGTTTGCTATTGATTGCAATGGTTTAACTGAATGCAGGTACCTTTGGTAATTCATTCGCCAACATTCACTGACTGCTTGCTTAGTGTGACATGTAAACGAAAATTTTAGAAATGGCACACATCCTGTTATTTTCAGGTCAGTTAACTCAGTTTATGACTTTTTGATTCAAACAATCGATGCTTATTATAGGGGATTCACAATCACTTCACCGAGATACACGAAGAAACGCGAATGACTCATAAGTTCACCGCTTGTGAATATGGTTTAGAACTGTTACATTTTGTGGCGTTTGTGACTTCATACCAACAATTGACAGTTTAATCAGGTGGAGAAAAGACTGATTAAGGGAAAATGGGGTGTAGCATCAGTTGAATGAAAGGAAATAAAGGATTTTATTATATTCATGTAAATGAACCAGAAGTCCTGTAATTACGATGTTCGGAGCTTGACGCATTGTTCATTGTTAGTTGCGCATTATAGAACGTGGAAAGCTAAATGAACCATTTATAAGCATACTCATCAAAGCAAGGTCGGTAACATTCCATCTGGGTAACGCAGTATCGTACTCGGAAAAAACACACATTGCCAAAGTATGTTGGGTGTCAGTTTTGATTTATGCCTTTTTCGTTACCCAGACAATAGAATTTCCTATAGTTCCCTACATTTATTCACTCCTTCGTATTCCATGAATCGCGCACCACTTGAATATATTTTATTTGTGAGTGAATCTGTGTTGAAGTGCTGACAAAGAACAGTGTAGAGCTATTGTGTTTGCGGGCTCAGAGTCGGAGGCCTGATAGTGATGTGAAAATAGTACACACGGTTGACGAGTTCCAACAAAAACGAAAGCAGTCCACCACTGTCACTATAAAAGTTCATTTGATGCTCCAAGTTATGCTTCCATCATTGGACCGTCCTGGCTTCACCAAACCCCATTAAAGGTGAACGAATGTTGAATATAATCACCTGAGATGCAGTATTTCGGTCGAATTTATGTTTTGTTTCAAGCGAAGGACCAAGGCTATTTTTTATATGACTGAACACTCACCCCTATATATATATATATACATATATATATATATAGGATGCGTAATTTGGCATGAACTGGTAACGGCTGCTTGACTCGGGGGAAAGGCATGCCAGCACGAATGAATTAGATCATGGTCAAAAGAATTGCCGGTCTGAGGCGGTGTGAAAACAGCTCGATCATATCATCGCCAGTGAATGGCACCTACCAGAAAAGCTTGCATTTTCGATTAGATACTGTTAGTTGTTTTGGTTTGTGGACATTGTACTAATCATCCATAAACGCTTTTGGGGTAGCCATTAAACTGAAACCGGTCATTTAGTATTTCCTTCTCGCCTGTCAATCTGTCTGCTTTACAAAATCTACGAGGTCTATTGTACATTGTTCTCACTGGAACACAATTACAATTCAGCGGTACAAAGCCGGTAAGGTGTAACTACTGTTTCCATTATTTATGTCTTCATTGAGCGAATCAGCATACTACATGGTCCTAATACCCTTTTACCATAACAACTAGAATTGCGAAGCTACCGTGCTCAAGTGATTTGGTCAATGGACGATATCCAGTTTGTGAAAGAGGCTGACAGAGTCTCGTTCAGAGTTGAGGATCACAGGAATATTGTCTTTGAAACTTCTCTGTAGAAATGTGTTTTGCTGATGGCATCGCTCTGTTTATTCCGTTGATGCTAGCCATAAAGATATTCGCACGTATGGGTCTCAGTGGCGTGATGCGGCTAAATAGTATTCGATAGAAACTGTGCAAAAGGAACCTACTGTGTTTTGTTTATTCAAGTTCATTGAAGAAAAGAAAACGTTCCAATTTTCTCAAAATATACTAGTTTTGCTTTCACACATACAGTGTGCAGTATCTTTCATTGAAATAAAAGACAATACTAAACTTCGAGCAATTTAAAGCAGTTTAAAACGTAATGCGACCGTCTCTATGACGGTTAACTTGTTTTGCTAAAACCATTTGGAAGTAATATTTTAACTGAAGAATAACAACAGATATGAGTTATCATTTTTGATAACTTTTTTGCCTCAAATTGAACATTGCAATATTTGTGAACTCCGACCACACTCTCCTGACAGAATCTACATAATACGGATCCGAACGCATTGTGTCTGTTTCAAATCACCTCAGCTAGTATGGACACACTGCAATCGAACGGATTGGGCGAATCAAATGGGAGTGAAAATGTGGTTCTAACTATTCCCTGGTTAAAACTACGTCCCGTCCTGCTCGTGCTGTGTTCCGGCGACGATTGTGATCATTCCGGTTTACAAGCATCCACAGTGAAGGCAATGTACTTTCTGTTCGTCTTTCATTCAAGCGTTTGGTCACTGCTGTTTCTTTATATCCTTGTGGTGAGTTACTCGTTAACGAATTATCAAATTTACTGTGGTTTTTAACACCGATTGTTGGCGCTCTACCTGTCCGAGTTCATCGATTGTATGCATTCCCAGACCTACTTTTTAGCGCAACTTCATCTCAATGTTTTCATTAACAATGTAATATCGTATGTTAGTACAACCGAAATCTGTGCTTAGAACGTTTTTTGGTGCCCACACGCTGATGTCTGCCAAACTGAGTTGTTCAGTAGGAGAAGGGAATTCTTTTTCAAAGCGTGAACGCTTGCTGGCATATTTTCAATAAAAACACTGTTTGTCTGAGAAACTAAACAGGTGATAAAATAAATTGGTAGAAGAGAACAACGGAAAAGCAACGAATGCAAAATATAAAATATTTCGGATATCATTTGATTTACCCGATTTAAAATTACGTTCCCAAAGGTGAACATTGACAAACTTGAAAACTGTTACAGAATTTCAATTTAATACAAAATGTACTTAGCTGTCCCAAAGATTTGGAGAAAATTACCACCCTGCCTTTGAAAATCATAACCATTTCTGCGTTGATAGATCGGGAAACAAATCGGCGAGTATCTCGTATTTTACATCAGACATATTTATAGCTGAATTTACCAGCTGAAAAAACGTAAAGCTAAAAAACGATGCCGGGAGCACAAATATTTTGATCATATTCATAGGTAGACATTTTGTGAGAAAATTATCAGAGATGAACTTTGAACCAATTCAGCTAGAAGTGATTATCCGATTCATTGTCAAATCTGTGTTTGGATTGATGATATGGTAGAAGGGGCAACACAAACTACCGGGAGGAAAGGAGTTAAGAAAATTTAAAAGCAATAAAACTTTGATCACTGCTTTCATGAAAAGCGGAATGGAAGATAAGGGAACAGAACAAGGAGTGTATTTTCATCAAACTAATACAAAGTTGATAACCTACGAGAAAAATGCATGTCAATGATCTATCTGTGTGGTTTAAAGCGTACTATCCAATGTTTTACCGTGTTTTTGCATTGGTTCAAGCGAGCATCAAATTATGATCAGCCTTCATATGTTTTTATTAACCATTTATTTCCATAATTCGTTTTATGCACTGACATCTAGCAATTGATATCCATAAAACAATTTGGCTGATCTTCATTTTGTTCTAAATCGGAAATAATTGCATATTTTCTCCTGATACCCCGTCATTTCTTTGGCCGTTTAATGCAACCAGGCAGGATCAATGTTATTCATTTTTGAAATTACTCATCCTTTCAAATGCGGTGGAAAAAAGCGCGAAGGACGTTACGAGGGATGCTTCAATTTGCTGGAATCCTTTATTTTCGTGTTGTTGGCCATGTTCTTGCAGCGTGAGTTATCCGGGGCTTGACCTTGATTTGTGCTCCACATACAGCCCGATTCAGCTAATTCGAGCAAATGTTTTATTCTCCCCGAAAGTGAAACAATCACACGTTATACAAGCATCCAAGGAAATAATCAGGCAACTCTTTGGTTGATTTTTTTATCATGAGTAAAATGCTTTGGTGGATTTGTCTTCGTCATGGTAATTGTTTGTCCGTATATACTTCCTGAATTAACTTTAATTAAATAGTCATGGTTCTCTCTACAAGTATTTAAAAATCACCACAAATGGCAGGTTGGTTACAGAAGAACGTAATAATTTTTATTTCATCAATGATACGTCTATCTTGTTTACTCTCTCTCTCTCAGTTTAAAAAGCTAACTTCAAGTGAGTGTCCATACTTAAGATTCCAAAAAAAACACCATCACTAAGCACATTTCACACTGCTGGAATACAGTTCAAATATGGGCAGAAGAATTTACTCGTCATGATAGATTTTTAGTATAAAACTAAAGATTATTTGGAACTGTATTTCAGCTCATCCAGTCGTTTGAGGATGAATGTTCAACCGATTGAGGAGACATGACTTGGGGTTTTATTTAGATAATAGGAGTGTGCAGTGATAAACACTGCCAAAAAGGAAAACCTTCCCCATTTTCTTATTTAACTCATAGTGAAAGCTCTTTAAAAATTTGTGCATTAAAAATGTTTCGGGATAAAATAAACCTCATATCAGAAAGCATAATTCGACTGAAAGCAAAACGTCAACAAGTGAACTTCGTATGAAGAATCGAAATCTTATCGCTTAAGCATATTGGATTCCTTAAAACGCTTCATCCAAATGAATGAATCTTCGAAAAGTCATATCCTTGGTTTGTGAGTAGTGTTTACTCCAACTTGACGAGGAAGAAGAATAGAGAAAAACCTGTCTGCATTTCCGAGTTTGTCCGTGAATTTAATGCCCTCATCTTTCATTTTATGGTGGTGGATACATAGAATGTGGGACGAGAGCTAAGTAATACATCAACATTTTACAACATGTAATGAAAAACAGGTTACCACAAGAAATTACTCACACGCATCTTTTAGATGGAGTAACGTATATTTTCATTGCTGATTTAGTTCGGTGGATAGGGGAAGGAGTGAAGCTCGCAGTTACAAGGACCCACATATTTGGTTGTGTACCCCTGACATGCCTTGGGATTGAGTGTAGCTAGGTTCGTAGAATTTCATTAGGACTGAATCGGAATCCAACAAGACTGCTGATCACCGATGTTGAATGACAATTACATGGTTCGAAGCTCATATGTTTTAGGTCCGATATAATCCATTGTCAGTGAGGTAGGTCAATTTAACACCACCAACATATCATATTCCGATCTGACGGTTGAATCAGGGTGCCTCGGTGGAAGCCCGAAACTTGATTTGAGTCAATTTGTTTATCCAGATCGAAGGCACTCATGCGTTAGCTGATTCGTTCATACTAGGATCGTATGGATAGAGTGAGATTGCTTCTGCTGGGTGGTATGATCATTCGGGTGTTTGTTATTCAATTGTGTGTGTAATACTTTACCGTTTTAAAATGGATCACTTTGCTTTCACTCACTTTTGTTTTAAAACATCGCAGCATGTTTTTCGATTTTCTCCATTCCCTTGTTCTAATTTTGCCTAACAACCTAGATTTTGAGCATTCAACCATGGCAAGTAAATTCAGCACGTTTATATGAACTATCCAGGATTAAACAGTACGCTTATTTTCACGTTTATTTAGAGGGAATCACCATTTTAATCCGGAACGTTGTTAAACGTGCATAGAAGCTCCCAAACAACAGCACCAATGTGCGCCTAGCAATGTAAATCGATCGGTGTGTATCTCGGATAAATTTCATCAGATAAACAAAGTTTATTTTCATGATGGATTCATCGTGTAAATGAGGCGGGGGCGGAAAATCTGGGAAGCACTGGACAGCTGTTTCGACCTGGTTGGATTCAAACTGCTGATGAGACCCAACCAGGTCGAAACAGCTGTCCGGTGCTCCCAGCTTTTTAACTCACTCCTCATTTACACAAAAACTTCATCATGTAAGCAAATCGAATCCTCCATTTCTCCCATGAAACAGCTTATCTTCAACTGACATTGACCCATTATTTGAATCAGTCGCATTGTTTACCATCTATTTCAAAGGTGGCCTAGAATTTTCAAAGTGGTTAGTTATCTCACAGGACTTCGATAAATTTATAAAACCGGAGTGAAGATTAGGTGACAATTTGCTCATATCTTCCGTGTCATCATCGAACGTGATTAGGTACAATTGTGACAGTGAAGGAGTCGGTTATAACTAGCCCTATTCGCATGAAAATTTCCTTAATACAGAAAACATTAAGAAACTAAAGATGAACCTACAGCCAATACCAAGAATAAGCATTTTGGTAAGTAAACACAACAAACAAGAAGTGAAACGTGCATGAGTATTTCGAGTTAAATGCCCCCGTTTTAATTATGGCTATTGCAAATTAGTCGTATAAATATGCATGAAAGAAATAAATTGAAAGAAAAGATTCACCATCCCGATTATTCGTGTTCACATGTTAAAGAACTATAGTCTCCTGAATCGGCTGACTGATTTAAACATCTGCGGTCTCGTAACGCATGGGAGACAGAAGACACTCCAATGTTCTCTTGCCGCGTAAAAATAAACTCAGAGTAATTTCCAATGAAAACCCCACCACCACCACCACCACCCAATTCCGAAAATAAATGGATGAGAAAGGTCAAAACATCTCATAATACTGAAGTACGCGAACATCTAACCTACGAATAAAAAAATTGGCAATAAGTACCGTTTTCATAGAGACAAGGAATATATATGGAGTTGGTCGTGGCTTATTACAGTGTATCAACCAGGTGCCGCAAGGATGTGAATAACTGGTTTAACACAATATGTTGTGGTGACAGAATGAGAAACAGCAGTATAGGAAACGACATCCCATTAACATGTGTTAATGCAGAACAAAATCAAGCAATGTGAAACGAGGAGTTATGTTTACTATCATCCAATCGTCCATCAATTTGATTCAAAGCAGTGATTTTACCAACTTTTTCTGGAATACCAATGCTCCTGTGCATATAAATACGAACACAAATCTACTGAACACAGTCAACTAATGAAAGTGATCACATTACCATTTGCTCACACGACGATAAGAATAATAATAATACTGGTAATACGAGGGAAAGGGTCGTGGTACCACATTATCTTGATTGTATCACTGATTGTATCACGCTCACAACACATAATGTAGTGGACTCGGAATCGTTTGGTACAGCAGCATTATACTCACTAGATAGATTGTGGCAACTGGATGAGCTGCATAAGTGTAGCTTTTTCCTGAAAATAACGATAAGGAGGTGGAGCTCATAATTACTTTACTGAGAAGCATAAAACCCAAATTTATATAACTTATTAGTTTACAAAGTCATAGATCTGTCTCGCGGACATATTGTTTGTTTTTACTGAACATTTGATTTGCGTTCTTCAAAAGGGACCATTTCTGTGTCTCTATATTCAATGATTCACTGCATATGGGTTCTTTAACGTAAAATTTCACGTCATCTGTTCATTTTCATGATTTAGGGTGTTTGGTACAATGGCAAATTACGTATGTTTACACTAAAAGCCGATAGAAATATAGTGAACATATACATTTTTGAGATTAGAACACCGTGTTTTAAAGCATAGCTTCCATCAGTCCGTTTTGACGAAAACTCATTACACCGTAAAATACTGCTTATCCTTCCCAAAGGAACAGAAATTGAGTGGATAAAATGCAATCCAAAGCAGTTTACAATTTATGATCCAACTCAACCCACTGCGTTAATTTTATTAATTGGTAATGACTTAATGGATTTTTATTTCAAAAAGCCATGGGCACTTTATGCTTCAGTTCCCCGTTAGAATTATAAGAAAGGATATATGTGAATATTGACATCATAAAACATATGGAACTTGATTGCATTCATTTTTGAAATAAAGTTAAGATCAGCGTGATTTTATCAACCTGTTTCTAGCGCTTCTAATCTGAAATGAAGAAATTCAATTTTGAATAAAAAGAAATAACAAATGGGATGATCATGACTAGTTCTTTGTCCACAATCGAAACTGACAGGAATACGAAGATCCCTTGAAGAGTGGATGGACACATTTTGCGGATACATCATATTTTACTCCATGTCATTGCCAACAGAGTTGAAACTCTTAAATGCTATTTCATTCGTTTTTATAATATTCATTGAGTATGTTAGCAAAATTTACTTCACGGTTTCCGGTCACCAAACACAATTTGTTTGTTAAACACCGTATGCTCATTTGCACCGCAATTTTTGTGCTACACAGCACCACATCACCGAGCATCGCCTCCATCCTCGTTTGATTGGTAAACCTACTTGACAAGCCTCACCCATTCCGTGTTCGTGTGGTACTTAACCATATCAACGGATGGCGTAATTATTTTGCAGTGACAGTAACTAGTCGATCGTTCAGTGCCTTAGTGTCATTTTATCCTGACAGGTAGTTGTACATTGAGTTGTAGAGATAAAGCCCGGGGACAACGCGACCTCAGTACAGCGTTGCGATCATTTAGTCAACTAGTCCCGTTTAGGTGAGTTAACCTTGGCATTTATTCAAATATTGATTTAGCTTGCATTAGTAAAACAAGCTTGCATTGTCTTGTAAACACAATCGTTTTTCGATGAATGTGCGTGCTTGGACTGCGCTGAAATATCACTTGTCCTCAGTATGCTCTGCGAAATGCGCGACGGCCCGAACATGAGCTTCGATGGGTACTTCACTTTTTAACTATGAATTTAACCTGAAATATTTTGAACAGCGTTCGACCTTGGTCTTTTAGAATAGGATTATTAGGGGGTCATAGTAACAACGGTGTATTTGTATATGCGCATTAGCCGGTATCTGTAGCAATCACAATTCTACATTCTCCAACCTGAATATCCCCTTCTATAACACAGACCAAACGGAAAGATTTCATGGTACCACGGAAAGGACATTTTATTAACGTTTAGTAATAGTATCTACTTTTAACGGACGTACCTTAACTTCAATGATCTGATGGTTTTTCACCCTTGCCCAAACTTAGACCGAACACACGAGTATTCCTCTCAATGAGAATATCACCCAGTTAGAAAGGATTTCCGCCAAATGTATTTTGTCATCGCTATAGGAACGACACATTCCACCAAATCTGTGTTGCTGAATGTGTGATTACTTTATGGACCGATGCAATTTCACATATCACTGTATACTTAGTTCTGGAATTATTTCTTTGAACCCAGGTAGAATCCCATGGTATTATTGTACTGGTTTCTTTTTAGATCCTCTTTTTAGTTTCCACCTTGATCTACTATCTCTTATAAGTATATCGACAATGTAGAATTTGGTGTTTTTTTCTCACAACAGTACTTCTCCTAAAGACATATAGCATATCATGAAATCCCGTGCCATGTGATCTGAAAATCTGAATGTGTCATAAATTCTCGGAAAATGCTTCAAGTTTATCCATTTCAGTAATTTGGGTTTCCTGCACGTGCAGCGTTGCCAAAATTATCACAATTTACCAAAATTCTTATGAGTGACACCATTTTTGAAAAGTTGTGTTTCTGCAAATACTTTGAATGCGTTTAGTCCTGCCTTCGCAAATCAACTGCACTAAAAGGGTGTTTTTTTCCTTTAAGTCAGAAAGTTGGTCTTTTTGACTAATGCCTGTGACGCAAGTGGACCATTCAATATAAGAGGTGATATTCGTTAACTAATGTCATCGTTCTCATCACTGTTTCGTTATTTTCGCTGGACCGTTAACCATTTGTTTTGTTGCGATTAGATGCTCGCGCAGCCAGGTCGAGTTTCTTGGCATTGTATACCACGCAGATTTTAATCTTCTCTGCGATTCCATTCCAATCGATCCTTCATAGCATTTATGTCCGATTTTATCTAGCTATCCACAGTGCACAGAGAGTTTAATATCCACATACAGCAGCCCTTCACACATACCATGTATCTTACCTTCCACACTTAAAGGTTTTGAGAAAATGATTATCCAATGGACGAAAATCAAACCCGTGTGGCTCGACTGGAATCTGAATTTAAATACCACGAAATTTTCATTTTTCTCAGTCCCTTATCAAAACAATATTGCACGACAACTGAATACTTCCCCGTGCATCCAAGGCAAACAAATTGTGATCCATATTGAATAAATAGCTGGTAGTAGTATTCTGACTTGACTGAAATTTATTGGATCGAACGACATCATCAAATCACCGTGGTCTTGATGCTCTCCACAGCTTGCGAAACCTTCCTTGTTCCTGCTCTACCTCTGAGACTAGTTCTGATTTCGGTCCGCAAAGAAACTAATATTCAGTCAGTTCTGTGAAAGGGACGTAAACGCAATCTCAGAATGTTCCCAATTTTCCCTCTGGTCTAACTAAAGGCATCACAAAACGATAAAATTGTTTGGAAAACGGAAACAAACTAATTGATGTTAGTTTGTTGTCTATTTTAAGTTAACTGAAATGTCAAACCTGAAAAGAGCGCACCATTTGGATCGCTCTGAAATACGACTAAAAGGACAACTCTATCCAGGTTCCTTGTTTCCTCACATCAAAGTTGGTCAAACTAATTATTTGTGCACGGTGAAATCAATTCGGCGAGCAACCAGGTTTGAATTTATATAATAGTAACAGAAACATGTCGATTTTGTGATGGATCAAATGCTCACCTGTAAAATAACCACAGTTATAGTCACAAGTGACTTGGGGAACACTGAGTCGTTTGCAAAGTGCAATGCTGATGTCAACTGCCTCTTGATCAGGTGAATTTCAGAGATCGTTTAACTGTCGAGTTTCGAAGGTAAGTGGGTTTCAAGCAGAGGTTCGATGACTGGGGTTCTCATATGATGATCAGGTTACAGTGAACACAGGGAGATGTGAGGTTATCTCTATGCGCACAGGAACGGCTCCTGCAATCTTTGCACATTGGTAACAAGACTGCTAAAATAGTAACATTCTGACAAAAAACGTGAATAACCTGTGCTCATGAGGTATATCAAATTCAAATTCAAATTCAAATTTTTATTATGGGATATAACTTACAAACACTTCG